GGGGGGGGGGCTGGCATGCTGCTATTTAAGGGTCAGCTGTCACTCCACATGTCTGCACTTCAACTCTTTCTCTTTTACTAAATCCCACGTATCAATTTGTCACTTGCCAAGGGCCCCACAGTGCCAGAAGAGACTGTCACGCAGGATCCTGTGTAAAGTCACATCTGCTTCCCACGGTTGCAACAGGCCCAGGGTTGTTACAGTGTCAGCCTGAGGGCACAGAGCTGACCTCCATTCCCTCCTGCCACCTGTCCCTACAGGGAGCCCCAGTCCTCTGTGAGATGCCGGGGAGGTCTGAACACAGGGGACTGAGGAGCAGGGCGGCAGCTGAGGACGGCGGCCGTGCCCGGGGCCGGGGGGAGGCTTTGCTCTGCCCGAACCCGTGTGAGCTCCCCGGTGTGGCCCCGATCTCTCCCAGGCCTGGAGTCGGCACTGTTCCCAGGGATCCTGAGCACCCACCTAGCCTTGCCCAGGTGGTGCCTGCCCCCCGTGCCCGAGCCTGTCCCACGCACCTGCAGGTACAGAACACCGTTTACGGAGATGGTGAAGAGCTCGCTGCTACTCTCCAGGCCCATGACAGCCTCCAGGGAGCTGCAGCCAAAATGGGAAGACCGTCAGCCTGCACCTCGGGCCCCACCAACCTCCTGTGCTCACAACCACGCCAGCAAACGACAGCCACCCAGCTCAGTGCAGTGGTAACAGCTGTCCTGGCCAGGTCTTCTGGTGGAGGGTGGCATCCAAACTGGATCCTCCAGAGGAGTGGGGACTGTCTCCACAGGGCCAAGGGGGTTCTGCGAGTGCCCAGAAAGGCAAGCCTGGGCCCAGGCCAGGGCTGAAAGGTCCTGGCCCTGCTGCAAAGAGGACACAGGCCGGTGCAGCTGGAAGTGGGGGTGTGGTGGCAGCAGTGATGCCAAAAAAGTGGGTTCAGGACAATCTATGGAAGGTTTCCAACCGCGGACTGGGAAGTTCTGAACTCTGTCTCCCAACTGCTGTGGAGCGCGCGCACCCGCTCTGTGCCTGGGATCCACTGGGGGCGCTGGGGATACAGAGGGTGCTGCCCCTTGCCCTCCGGGGTGCAGGTGCCACGGAAAGAGGGATCGTGTCAGGGAGTGGACGGTGAGAAGGAAGTTCACAGGCAGAAGAAGACGGGGACGGTGATGGGCTGCACGGGGACTGTGGCCTCCGGGTGACCGCGCAGGCGAGGGGAGCGGGGAGGCTGGGGAAAGTGTCGGGGTAAGCACCGTGCGCCGCCCCCCCACCCCCCGCTCCTGGAAAAGGATGGCCTGATGGGGCCGGGAGCTGACTTCGAGATGGGGAAGGAGGCGTAGGGTCGCCAGCGGCTGGTGCGGCGGCGCTGGCGGACAGGGTCTTTCCAAGCTGGGCAGCGCTAGGGTGGGGCGAGGGGACTGGGGGAGGGGGCGGGTCTAGTGCCGGAGTTCCCACCCCCCCAACTCACGCGTTGCGCTGGCACCGGGACTGGATGCAGATGAGCAGGCGCAGGCGGTCC